TTTCAACCCATCCCACCCAATCACACAGAGAGGGCATGTTCCGGACCCCCTTGGCCAAAGAGCTCCGACTAGCAGGGTCCAGAAGGCGGGCCTTCTCTGCTGTAGCCCCCGCCCTTTGGAATATCTTGCCCCTGGAGGTGAGATTGGCCCCCTCACTCCTGGCCTTTCAGAGGGATCTGAAGACTTGGCTCTGCCATCTGGCCTGGGGCCAGGAGGGAAATCCTCAAGTGTGGGGTTGGCTAGTCCCTTGGAGGCCTGGCGTTGCTGCCTTGAACCATCGGCCTCCTGGATTTTTTCCTTTATTTTTTGTAAGTGTGTATTATTATCGGCTTTTAATTGTATATTTATTTATTGTTTTTAATGAGTTGTGAGCCGCTCAGAGTCCCCCATTGGGGGTAGATGGGTGGGGACAAATTTAATAAATAAATAAATAGTTTACCTTGCTGATGTATCTGACCTCCTGATCGCACTCCTGGAGAAACTCCAGTAGTCACTGCACTCACTCATAAAAGTCAACCTGCAGGACCTGAATTTAAACTGCATCTGTGGAATATTTTATTTATGTGAATTGCCTCCTGTTTCTAGCCAGATGTACACCCTGGAAACTGCTGGGCATTCCAAGGATCTGAGGGCCAAGCAGTAATTAGACTGCCTGAAAAAATCCAACCCACAGCAGTTACAGTTCAGCACATCACCAAAGCAATCTCTCCTGTGGGAGAAGTCTCAAGTGCCTTAAAGGACTTCTTGGTTTATGTGAGTACTGCTTTGACCTATTCTTGCTTATATATACCTCTCCTCTAAGGTACATTAAAAGAGCTCTGATTTAGGAAGCAGTACGGCTACTAAGCCATTGATACAGATCTGATATATGATATGGAGCCAATCTGGTATAGGGGTTAAGGTGATGGATTAGAAACCAGGGGTCCCAGTTCTAGTCCTCCCTTGTGCACAGAAACCAGCTGGATGACTTTGGGCCAGTCATTCTCTCTCAGCCCAACCCATCTCACAAAGCTCTTGGGAAAAATAGGATGTGGGAGCATTATGTACATGCCTTAATTGTTGTAACAATTAAAAGTGGGATACAAATCCCGCTTTTAAAAATATTAATACATTAGTTAATTAATTAATTCTGGATATGCAAGATTGTTCCCTCTGACAATCCCCTGGTGAAGCTGGAACATGAGACACTGCCAGTTCTTCCAGGGTTTGGACTGGCAACCTATCAGTAGAGGCCAGATTAGCAATCTATTGTAGATACTTTAATTTGGATATATTAATTAAAAAAATGTCATTGAATTAATGGGCTAAATGGCCATTCCATCTGTAAGATTCTAAGAAGAGCAATATTATCTTCCCAACTCTAGCACCTCCTACCCCAAGTAGTCTATTAGTTTCTCTTACATGGGTATGGGCTCATTCTCCCTTGTCTACTTAACATGGAAAATGACCAGCAGTTTCTGTTGCTGCTTCCCAGATGAATTCATTTATAGATTTTCAGCTGCTTCTGCTGACATGGGCCAAACTTTCAATGGGTTTTATTACTCTGGGCAGGGACAATGCCATTTTGCCTACTCCAACACCACTTTGCCTTCTCCATGGGATACTTCCAGAAGTTGACTGTCATGGCCACTTTCTGCCTGCACTGCAACCCCTGTACAGCACACTGATTTGGAATATACAGGAGGAGGGTGAAATGGACAAGACTTCTGCCTGTTTACCTTCCAGCTTTTCCTGAGAATATCAATTTCCAGATCAGTACACCAGAATTGCTGAAAATCAGTAGGTGGCTTTCTGACATAAGCCCTAACGTAGGTATCTTAGCATCATATTAAAAACAAAGACCTTGAAATCCTCCAGCAAAAGCCGGGGGGGGGGGATATATTTATCACACCACTCTCTGTAGCTCTCTGCTCTCCCCATGTAAAGTACTGTATGTCCCCTTCACCTTTAAAAGATTGTCTGCCCCAGACAAGATTCAAGACTTAATTGTTTTACTTCTGCATTGAGCTGACTGTGTTGACCAAGAATTGTTCCTAGGTTGTCCTTCAGAGCCACCGATGCAGCCAGCATTCCACTCTTTGTTTGAAACCTCTGTGAGCTGCCACTGATTCCCTCCCTTCAATTCTAGGGGCTAAATGATGAAACAAACGAGGAGATTCTATTGGGAACATTCATGTATGATATTGAGAAAGAAGCTATTCAGACATTCCAACTGAAGGTAAACTAGAAATGAGAGCGTTGGGGTAGCAAACTGAAGAAGCCATGTTGGGTTAAACTGTTCTGAAAGAACCTCTCTTTGAGTGTAAGGGCAAGTTCTGCCCCTGTCTCCTAAAAATCAGACCACTTTTAATTCAGTATTGTAAGGAGTAGATTAGGCTAGAGCTGGGAAACCTGTGCCCACTCCTCCCAGGGAATATAATTTAGATAATCTGTGGCAGTTCACCATACTGATGGGACTTGGAGTCCAAAAACTTCTTCCTTTCTGATGGATAGCAATCCCAAAGTGGTTGTATCAGTGTGTGGGAAACAAGCCTGCAGAAATATAGGCTTTGCACCCCTCTATCAAATTGCTAGAGCGATTCAAGATGATGACTGCAGCTCTATTGCTTTTTATTGTGTTTGTTCTTTTTCCTCATCTACATTTCAGAATGAACAAGAAAAGAACTACCAGTATATCAAATTCAAGGTGCAGAGTAACTGGGGAAATCCAAAGTTCACCTGCATTTATCGAGTCAGGGTGCATGGAAAGAGGGTCAATGTGAACCTTTTGGCAGGGGGTGAAATCTTGCAAGATGAATAAAGGAAAACAAAAATATGAACACTTATACTGAGCGAGGTGTAAAAAGCATACAGAACTTACTCTACCTTTTCCCAGGGGAGAATGGGGAGGGAAATATGAGGAAATATTAATTATGCTGGGTGATTTAGAATCTGACTAACAGGATTTGATCACTCACATTCAGTTGAAAATTCAGTTAGATCAACGCAAAGGCATGGAATTGATAAACTAATCTTAGTTGCAGGAATACTTTTGATTCTGTCCAATATCTCAAAAAGAGAAAGACATACACAGATGCCTGGAGGTGATCTCCCAATAAATATTTCTGTTCAGATTATAGTGTGTAGAGGCAAATGCATTGTGGGAAAGAGAGAGAGAGAGCGAGAGCGAGCAAGAGAGACTCTTCTGAAATACAGAATATTTCAATATGACCTTGAAATATATTCTGAGTTATCAGCTTAATTCTAGAATGCTTCTCCTCTTTCTGATGGGCTTTCTGGAAGTAAGATTACTGCTTTCATGACAGATGTTTATCTGACCAGTGGTGTCCCCCAAATGGACGTAACTAGCAGCACAATCCTATGTGTACCATTTATAAATAAAGCCCTGATGAACTCACCATGCACCTAGGTATGCTGCTTATAGTCTGCCTGTGAAGGAGAAGACATGGTCATTTCTTCCCTCAGCAGTTCACTGTTTCTCTGTGTTTGGAGAAAGACTGCTCTGTGCAGATAAGCTGAATGATCTGATCACAGAAGTGGAGACATCATTTCATCCTAGACAGACCATTGTTTTCTCAGAGAGTGACATTCCTTGTCATATGGCATGTGCTCTCTAAAGATTGCCATTCTCCTCTGCTTTCTCTGTAACACAACAAATGTGGTTATGTTCAGTCCATCTCTCCAAACAGAGGAGAGTTCCAGAGGAGTAGTTTCTTTGGAAAGCTTAATAGCATTTTAAAAATATTTGTTTATTTACATCTATGTAAGTTGACCTTGAACACAAATGGACACAGAATTTAAACACCTCCAAGAGATAGCCAAAATCCACTGCTTCTGTATCATATAGCAACACCTAGCAATCAAATGTCTCATTGACAAAGACCAAACTCAAGTTTCTATCCTTCCTTAGACTCTGTCTGAAGTTGCCTGCCTGTCTGCTTGCTTGCTACAATATCTCCGATCAGGAGAATGACATGTGCTTGTCCTAAAATTGTTCTTACCTTCAAGAAAAATGTATCATTTATGTTTAATTTCCCCAACAAAGGAGAGAGATGAACACTTTGCCAGAGTACTGAAGGGAACTTTTATAGTTCATTTAGGTTTTTTAGCATTGTCCTTTCCAAATGTTCAGTTTTGTAACAACATTCATGATTACAACTAAATGATCCTCTGAATAGTTTTCACAGTGCTTGGGTAGGTGTAAAACCTTCCTTCCTTCCTTCCTTCCTTCCTTCCTTCCTTCCTTCCTTCCTTCCTTCCTTCCTTCCTTCCTTCCTTCCTTCC